TGGGTGGTGGTGGTGGTGGAAGCTGTGGGCCGCGGTAGGGGAGGAGGGTGGGATCCAGGCCGCCTGGTGGCTTGGGGGAGACGAGGCCCAGAAGGGGCTGAAGTTTGCAGGCGGGGAGCAGGCCCCAGAGGTCACGGGCCCGGTGCTGCCCTGCAGGCTCTCAGAGGTGCGAAGCTTGGAGAACATGGCCAGGGCGTCTGGGAAGTTGGGGGGCGTGGCCGGGGTGTTGCTGGGTGTGCACATCTGAGGGAAGAGAACGGAGGTGTCGGTCCCAGACCACCACCGCCCCCCACCACCCCACTTCCTCAGCCCACAGGGTAACACCCTCACCCCCAACCCCAGCCAAGATGAGGGCAAGCTCATCACAGAGCTTATGCAGCCTGGTGGAGCTGGCTTCTCCCCAAAAGGTCACTGGTTCACACCCACTCAGTGCTCAGGGCCAGAGAGATGTGGCAGATGGCTTCCTTTGGGGTGACAGCCTTGGAAGGCCCATGGGGCAGTTCTAGTCCGGAGACACAACGCCACTGTCACACCAGTTCCGACTCCACAGGGGTTTTCAATGGCAGGCTTTTGGGAAGAGGTGGCCTGGAACCACCGGCCCTTGGGCTGGCAGCCGTGCGTGTGCAGCGCCTGCACCGGCCAGGCCCTCCAGCAGTAAACAGTTAATTTGGACTAGGTCAGGTGTCAGATTAAAAGGGAGAGGACAAGGGGCAGGCCAGGACAGGGCTGTCTGCGGAGGGCTCTTCCCCTGGGTGAGGAGACCAGCTGGTCCCCTGGGTAATCCACCCTCAGATCTCCTGGCTCCTCAGGAGGGACAGTGGCCAGGTGGAGGGTGTCACTCGCTCTGGGACCGCAGGGAAGCTACCCTGGCTGGGCATTTCTTTGACCCAAACCGATGGCGATGCTGTCAGCAGGTCTAGGGGCATGGGGGGGGCGTCCACTAGCACATGTCTCACAAAGCCTCCAGGGGGAGGAGTTGGGGACTGTTAGGATTATTTGTAATTTGATTCCACCGGTGGGCAAATTATGGGCAAATTAAGTCGTTCAACCACAAACATCCATAGCAAACTGTGGGGATGCAGAGCCAGGCGCTTATCCTCCACCTGCACACCCACCTCCCTGCTCTCCACCAGAGTCTGGAAGCATCTCCCAGTTCAGCCCTGCTCGGTCCTCTCCATGGGCATAGTAACAAAACACCCCAATACACACTGTCTTTGACTACATGGGGGCTGGGGGAGTCCTGCCTCCCCCTACCCACTTCTGGGCAGCCCCAGACAGGGCAGAGCAGGAGTCCTGCCTGGTGCCCTCGAACTCTAGGAAGCTTCCTCCCCTGTGGCCCCAGCCCAGGTCCACTAGCATGCTCCCTGCTCACCAAGGTCCAGAGACCCTATCTCCGGGTGGGAGGGCCACCCAGAGCTGGGTCTTGCCAGGGATGGGGCGGAGAAGTAGCCGGGGCAACTGAGACCACCCAGCCCCCCCCTTCTGGCCTGCCTGTGGCTTCTCCCTTCCCCAGGAAGCCCAGGGAGTCCTCTGAATTTCTCCTAATTTTAGCAACACCAGCCCCTCCCCCAGGCACTGTGGGGGGTGGGGAGCGGCTGGGCAAGATTCTGGGGCTCTCCACCTAGCCAAGAGGGGAGGGGCACTATCGCAGGTCTGCAGCTAAAGCCCAGCCAGAAACTCCACAGGGGAAGGGC